ATTTTTTTTATAAAAAATTAAAAAGTATATTAATCTAATATACCCCAAACAACCCCTAAATTGTTTTTAATGTATATATATTTGTCCTCTTCTAAGTTATAATTTTGAAAAAATATTAGGATTCATGAAAAATATTTCAAGAGGATAGTCATGAAAGAATCTCCATCCTTGTATTACACATTGTAACTTATTACATATGTAATCCAAGGATCAAAAATCTTTTTTGATCATCTTTATAAAATCCAAAAAATCCAAACCAAATCCAAAACCAAATCTTGCCAAAGCCAAATCCAAATCTTGCCAAAACCAAATCAAATCTTGCCAAACTTTGGTCATAATGTTAAGTCATTTCATGTTTGACAGAATTTGGGTGGATGTAAATAAATACATAAAGAATTTGATTTAGTTTGTGTATCATGGGGATCTATGAATAAAATAAATATGAGCCCTATTGGTATTTATGGGTAAAATTCCAAGTAAAAATAATAAATGTGCTCACATTGAATTACCCATGTCACTGCTTTTGGATATTAATAAGTGGGTAAACACACTATCTTAAAAATAATAATAATAATAAGTGGGTAAATAAAAACAAAATCTTAAATTTTTATTCATCTTATTGATGCTATTAGAAGGTACAACACTTTTTTTATTAGTGATTGTAGTCCACAAGTATATATTAAAATTTGTTTTGATCATTTAGTTACCATTTTTGTCCACATTTGTTTTATTGATTATTTTTTTAATTATAGTTATCTATTTATTTAAAATAATTTTTGTTTTTTATCTATGCAACTTTTGAGGCTAAAAATTATTATGATTTTTTTTTTTTTAATTTGTTAGCAGGAGGCACCTATTAGCTAACAATATATATAGAGAGAGAGAGAGAGAAAACTAACTAATTTTATTAGTTTTATAAAATCAATCAATCATGTGACGTTAAATTTGTAATTTTTCATAACTTTGTATACAACTCATAAATTTATAAATGATTTTTTTTATTCATGAGAGCTAAACTTACAAAAAAATACATGAAAATATTACGTAACTTATTTATAAATAATGTATTATACTATCTCGAGTATAACAGGGGTCATATGCTACTTATTATTTTGATAAGAAATGAATGAAAGAAGGGAAGGGCAGGAGGGCAAGTGAACATGGTTAACTGCACCAGGCTTGTTTACATATGAAGCCCAATCCCAAGCCCAATTTCGATACAATTTTCTATGGGATTTTTATGGGTCAGTCCTATTTTCAAGGGTTATTACTCAACAGGTCCTTAATAGAGACTTTTTTACCTATAAGTCTGGAACATTTTTATTTATTCCGTTTTTACCCTCGTGTTTTATACTCAGATCTGGAGTTTTAAAAAAAAAAAAAAAAAAAAAAAACCCTCTCTACACCTCTCTCTCAGCAACACCATAGATGGTCCGATCAAAGAAGAAGATCTGCCACCATCGCCGCTGCATTCAAGGAGAATGTTCACTATGAAGTCTAGATCTACAACCTCTATACTCCACCATCGCCAAGCTATACATGGATGATTTTCGGTGAGTTTACGGTTGTGCTCGGTCGAGCTACGCAGGGATGGTGAGATCGTCCATCCTAAGATTGCGCAACCTGGATGGTGGAGTGGTGAAGGACAACAGACGGCAGCGGCGATGGCAATTCAAATCTGAGATTGATGAGAGAAAAAGAGAAAAGATTGAAAGCTTGTTTTCTCTATATCAATGTATGTCATTTTCTGATGAATGTTCCCAGATTCACGTCACATTTGTGAATGGATTTGGAGTAGCGGAGGCTGGTATTGATGGTGGTGGGATTTTCAAAGATTTCATGGAGAACATTACTCAGGCGGCTTTCGATGTCCAGTATGGATTATTTAAGGTTGTAATTTGTATAGTATTGTTGAGAATTATTCAATCTACTCTCTCTTTCTCTCTCTCATATGTCTATAGTAAAGAAAAATGATCCATATGCGTATTAATGAAGAATGTAATAAATCTATTTAAATCAGTGATAAATCTGTTTAAACTAGTGATAAATCAATGATAAATTTGTTTAAACCAGTGATAAATTTGCCATGCTGAGTCTAGGGATAAAAATGAAAAACAATGTTTGATTTTTTTTTGTAGGACTTGTTGTGTAACAAGACCAGTCCATAGGACCGGCCCATAACTCTCTCATTTTCTATTACTTTGACAGTGACTTTTAAATCGATTTAGGGTTCATTTGGGAAGTGAGTTGGCTTTTTAATTTTTTAATTTTTTTGGCTATTTTAACCTAAGGTTAAAAAACCTGTTTGAGAAGGACTTTTAGTTTTTTTAGCTTTTTTTGACTTTTTTATGAGAAAAAAAATATAATAATTATGAATTTAATATGATATTTTATTTTTTGTGACTAAAAAACTTATTTTATTTTTTATAATTATTTTAGTAAAAAAAAAACCCAACCTTTAACTTCCCAAGGAAGTCTTAATGGGTTAATGCGTCGGGATCCTTTGAAGTACTTCTCTAAGTAGTTTCAAACGGCCTTGTAACAGTGTCGTGTTTATTGGAGGAAGAAAAAAGGGAAAAAAAAAATAGAATGAATAAACAGAACACTTTATCATCTTTGAGATAAAATCCATCTTACATGATTGTAATATAGCCTTATACCACTCTATCATCTCCGTCTTTCAAAAGTATGCACATGTTGGTAATGTGATTTTGGTAATTAACTCCGTTAATAAAAAAATATTAAAAAGACTATTATGCCCTCATCAATTTAACGGTATCTCCGATGTCTTCTTCTATAAACAAAAACAAAAATACAATAAAATGTTGTAGCTGGTATGCTAGTAGCGTTATGCTTTCCCATATCCTTGCTCTGTACAATGTTTTGTTGATTCCATAAAATGTTGTTTTCATTATTGAAGCGGCTAATCCTTCTCGACTAGTAAAATATTGTTCGTTTTGGAGTTAGGCGAAAACTAGCAACTAACTCCTCACCGTTTTAATAGTCTAAAAGAGTTAGTCCACTTATGTAGTGGAGTTGTGATCTCTCACAAAGCGATGTAGAATAGTGTACCCACAAAGACTATTTTCTCTAAGGACAATTCTTAAATATGCAAGTACATACCATACTTACTTCCGTAAGTTCTTACAAATTTACGTAAATTGTGATTTTTCAAATTTTTATGAATTAACTTATGTATGTTTATGAAAACTTACGCAATTTTGTGAAAAGACCATATGCAAGTGCATATAGTATGCACCTTGCACACCCAAACACTTCCCTTTTTCTAATGTATCTTTACATTATCTGCAATAATTCCGATCTCTTTTAATTTTATTAAAAAGAAATTCAGTATAATTATTAACTCTGATCTCTTTTAATCTTATTTAAAAAAAAATCAGTGCAATTTTATTAAAAGTGTGAAATTCTATTATCTATTCAAACAAGTTTTTATAAAACAAAAACAAAAAGAAAAATTAGAACTAATCTGTTCTTACAAAAGCGAATCCAAGCCACATAATTTGAATCGGCCCAAATCAACTTACGGATTCCACAAATTTTTGAACATCCCTAACATACATTAAACATATACCAAAATTCATAAAAATATGCATTTCAACTATAATTTAAACCTTCTTGTAAAATGTAGAATCTAATCCAATCTCTGTTCCTTAACCATTGTTGGGTTAGGTAAGCCGCCACGTGGGGGTGTGGGCCACCAAAATTGATTACGCCACTTTTATATATCTAGGCAAAAGCAAAAAGAAGGGATAAAAAAATTGCATTCACACGGTCATCAAAGTAATAGGATTGGTAATATTTATACCGTGTGTTCACATAGCTAAGTGTTGATGCATTATCTATTTCAATATTATTTTAATATTAATTCATGTGATTAATTTCATATAGCCAAGTGTTGGTGCATTATCTATTTCAATATAATTTTAATATTAGTTCATGTGATTAATTTCATTATTTTTGTTTTTACATATTGTGCCATGTATACCTTAATAATGGAGACCCAAATGGGTTTTAGAGTTGGATAAAAGGTTTTGCTAATGAAAAACCCAAATGGGCTCAGCAGTACAGTTATAGGGGGAAAAAAAAGAGGTTTTGCTCTGTTATTTTGAAGAAAAAAAAGTGAGTTGGATTTTAAGATGAACTCTGCTTTTCTTTTTGAAATTCTAAATTTATGGACAACCAATTGATGGAGGTCACATCAACCCATTGGTAAGTCCGCCACAAGCCTCTCTTGTTCCTCCCTCTCTGGGTATGTTGGCGGTTTTATCTAGATTTGATATATTTTTTCATGAAAATATTTATGAAAAATTTACGATTTTTAGATTATTTTGATTAATTAGTAGTGTTTTATTTTAAGTGTAATTTAAGAGTTATAAAGTTTTCACGATTATTTTTATGAAATTTTTTTTATAATATTATTTTGATTAGTTAGTTGTATTTTATTTTAAGTGCAATCTAAAGATTATAAAGTTTTCACAATTATTTTTATAAAAATTTTTTTATAATACCTAACATTACTGATATTTTTTCTATCGGTGTTTAATGGGTTTGTCAGAAATTGGATTTGTTTCACGCTCAGGATTGTATTGGGTTTTTATTGCTTGGATACATTGCAGAAGGTGAAACCTCCTTTGTCATTCACGATTGTAAAAGAGGCACTTGCACAGCAATTGCTCTGTTTTTAAGAGTATTTTCCACTACTTTCTTTTTCATTTAATTTAGTCCAAAATTTGAGTAAAATTTTGAAGTGATATGATAACTCTTTCACTAAATTTTTATTAAAATATTTTTAAAAAATTTCTCTCCTTTCATCAAGTTTGATGAAAAAAAATCATCTCTAATACTTTTAAAATTATTATCAAATTGCAATTTAATTAAGGATTTGATGAAAAATTATTTTTCTCTTGATTTGATGAAAGAATTGAAGATGATTTTTGAATGCTTTCCCATCAAATTTAAATTTGGGAAGATGATGGCTGTACAGAGAGGCGTTGGGAGAAAGAGAAGGGGGGAAATGATGTTAATATCCAAGAAATGGATCGTGTTGTTACTCTGATCTAACAAAAGCAATACACATGGATGCATATCCTGCAGAACATGTAAGGATCATAAAACAAGATATAGAACAAGTCCCGAACATTCAAGGAGCAGATATAAATTTTAAAAACCCGGCATTATACACATACATACAACTTAACAACGGAGCAAAGGTTTGTCTATCAATGGCAGAAGTCAAGAATCCAGGTTGTATGACTATGAGAATACAATATCATCAAAAAGAATAAACCCATTATACACTAAATTCATCTGATACTACCATGTTATCAGTCAATACCCATGGGGCTAGTTCATCATTGGCAACCTATAAACCAGAAACTGGTAATTTTCTATCGGTAACCTCTATGACTGCCCCCTCATTATTCTTATGGTCAGTGCCCTCGTTATTCTTATGGTCAGTGCCAAGCCGACGCTGAGATCAGGTTCCTGTCTTTCCACCCCAACAGCATAGCTCCATCATTCTCCACCAGGGTATAATGTTCAGAGTAACATCTCAGCAAGCTCTTTATCACAGAGTTGACATAAGAGCTCAGAGAGTATTGCCGAAACCCTGCCATTGTGAACCTGGACTTCCACTTTCCAAATAGCTCGTGGCGTTCCACTCTCTCCTTGCCCTCACACGCAATGATGTTCACAATATCCCTAGCCAAACAGTGCTTCTCCACGTTAATACGCTCTTTCCTGTCCCTCGGCAGGGTCACATCTATAGACTCAAACATCGCAGAATAGTAGTCGAGGGTTTCGATGAATCTAGCAAAAAAAGGAGCTGTGTTTGTGTTCGATTCTTGCTCCACCAAAGTGATGACCTTGGGGGAAAGTGACTTCACCATCCTGAGATGCCCGTCTCTGGGATTGTTCACGACAACACTTTCATCGGGGCTGTGGTGGAGCTGAAGAGGGAAATTCACAGCCTGTGCCTCCCCAGGCCTTACGTTAAGCATATCCCTTGTAACATCTGGACCAAATACTGGCACAGCATGAAACTCAACTGGGATATTGAATTTCTCGGAAATTGCTGCTAAGCGTTTCCTTACTGCTTCCAAACTGTCTCCGCGAGCATATTTAGAAACTGGGTCATCGACACATGCTCTACGAATTACTTCCCAGAATCTTAAAGAAGAAATCTGATCTGATTATGAAACACCCACACTTACGAAACAATTACACTTGCATAAAGTGAGACTAATTTTCTGTTCACAAAAATGGATTGAAGTTGGTATAAATTTAGAAGTACAAATCTTCCTCAGTATTGCTAGTTTTTTTCTTTTTTTTTTTTCTTTATAATTTGATTGATATCTAGGGTATTGAGAGGGTAATTTATATATAAATTGAGCCGAGCTGAGTAATGGGTCATTCTGTGGACCACAGTAAGAAGGGCTGAGTAAAAAGGGCCTTGTAATTAGTCTGGTCCAGAAGAGCCTTGGTGGTTAGCTCGGTCACCACGGTCGGCACGATGACAGTTAGTTCGGTCATACTATATTAGGCCGAAGTATGTTGAGCTTTCCTCAGAACCTTGCTATCGGTTAGCTCGGTCAAAGCTCGATGTGATCAGTCCGGTCTCAGACAACACAGTTGGGATATGTCAAACTGAGGTACACACAGTGAAAGGAAGAACCGAGCTAATGGGAGCTCGGTCTAGTATGTGGCTTTAGCATGGCCATGATTATCTCGGTTGTATTGACATCCAACCGTGGTAGGACCATCTCACTTGGTTTAAGCAGTGAGGGGGGTGTTGAAGGATAAGCATTATCTTTCAGGAAGGTGATTCCTAGGAGGACTCTACATGGAGGAGTAAGAGTCCTACTTGGATTGTGCCACACGAAACCTATAAAAGTTCATACCACCACCTATGGAGAGGTAACACAACTTGGATTCCCGAATACACAGATCTTTTGTCTATTTGTCTATTTTGCTGACTTAGGCATCGTAGAGGTATCCGGTGCACATCCGCCGGCTAGCTCACGTTTGTGTTTTCAGGGAGTAAAGCGACGACGTTTGAAGGAGCACGAACTTGATCAACAGGATTATATGAGAAGATTCTTTCTTGCTCGTACAATTGGCGCCATCTGTGGGAATCACAAAAAGAACAAAACCTCTTGATCAAAGTTTTCCTCGCTAGATTAGACGCAATGGTGCACAATGTAGATTTGCCGCAGTCCGCCATTGACAGGCAAACTCTAGAGGAAGATGGGAGGCGCGAAGGTTTGCCTTCCATCCCTCCCATGGCAGATCTGGAGCCCCAGCGACAGAATCCCCGGAGGGATACAAGGGGAAGGCGGGGTAATAGCCCCCGTCGCTCATCAAGTCCCGATAGGCAGAGGCGGAGGATCGACCCTCAAGTTTTGGAGGATCGGGTGAAGAAGCAGGACGAGTTAATCAGGAAGATGACGACGGACATGGAATTGATGAAACGCCAGATAAAATGGAAAGGGGTGGCGACAGGAGAGGGGTGCAAAAGAAATACGCCTCCTCGCCACTGAGAAGATCGTGGTAGGCATACCACGCCATCGCAAACAGAGAGTAAGAGCCTCAGAATAGGCGACACTCAATCAAGGACTTCCAGAACTCTCGTTACCCCAGATCTGAGAGAACGGAATCATTGAGGTCTTACACTGAGAGAAGCACCTATCGGCCCTCACATACGCACTAGACATCATCTAGGCAAACGGAGTTGCCTAGATCGTCCGACTTACAGACTGTGCTTGAAGAAAAGGCACGACGAAAGGAGGATGCCAGGGCACGCGACCCGCACAGAGTTTCAGCCCTTCAGCGGTTGGGTCCTCGGACACATGGAAGTGTCAAGGTTGGGATGCCAATACCGCACCTTGCCTACGAACCAACAGATAAAGCATTGGCAAGGCTACATAGCTTGCCGTTCGTTCCGGCGATTGAGAATGCACCCATACCTTCAGGCTTCATCCAGCCTAAATTTACGACTTACAAGGGGAAGACAGACCCCTTACATGCACCTAAGCCACTTTCGCCAGGTCATGGCAGTATACCGGAGAAACGAGGCTTTAATGTGCATCCTATTCCCATCCAGCCTTGGCGACCTAGGTTTAACCTGGTTCGAAAAGCTACCAGAAGGCAGCATAGCCTCCTGGGCACAATTAGTGGAGGCGTTCGTGACAAGGTTCAGAACAAACACCAAGACGCTAGTAGAGATCGATCAGCTACTCTCCATTGACATAGGCAACAAGGAGACGTTGAGATCCTACAACAGTCGTTATTGGGAGACCTTCAACCAGATAGGAGATTGCCCTACAAATCTCACCATCGTGCAATACAAAAGAGGTCTTCCAATCGGAAACAGGCTGAGGGACTTAATTACCATGACACCTCCCCTCACCATGGAAGCCTTAATGGAGAGGGTACACCAGCACATTCGGGTGGAGGAGGATGGCGCTTGAGCTAAAACAAAGTCTGGTATAGCCGCAATACCAGATAAAAAGACTTCAGCAAAAGTCAACGCGGTAGAACGTCCAAGCAAGAACGGGCGAGGTAGGCGAGAGAACGGAGAAGACCAAGATGAAAGATGGTTGAGAGTCCGCACTGCCATTACCACGGTATTCAAGAAACCAATTTACCGAATTCTCAGCGAGATACGTAATGAACCTTTCGTCAAATGGCCAGCTAAATTGGGAGAGGCACAGAAGGACTACGACGAAAGATCTCGGTGCACCTTCCATAAGCAAAAGGGGCACCGCACAGAAAATTGCACACCATTGAGACAGCATCTAGAGGAGTTAGTGGCAGCTGGTCACCTAGACCGGTACATAGAATGAGGGACGCAGCCAGCCCCCCAAAACCACGATCATCTAGATGGAACGCCGATCGAAGCCCCACCGCAAGGCGTGATAAACGTAATACATGGGGTATTCGAGCCTGAGCGAGTATGTGAGCTCAGGGGAACCATAAAAAAGGCTAAGCACTTAAGGGAAGTATTAAGTGCACAGCCCACCATTAAAAAAGGGAGAACAGAGGCCACAAATGTCATGTCTTTTTCAGATAGAGACTTGGCAAGGATATACTGCCCTCACAATGATGCACTGGTCGTCACTCTCCGCGTCAAGGATTACGACGTCAAGCGAATTTTGATCGACCAAAGGAGCTCATGTGAAATAATGTACTACGAAACCTTCAAACAGTTGAAATTGGAGGACAAAGACTTGGCACCTGTCGTATCTCCCCTGATCGGATTCAACTCAATGCCAGAGTGGCCAGTAGGCAAGATCATCCTCCCAGTCAGAGCAGGAAGCATGACGAAACAAGTAGAATTCTGGGTATTGAAAATCCTTTCCACTTACAACATAATCTTGGGAAGGACATGGTTGCACGCCATGCGATCGATAGCGTCAACCTACCATCAAGTAATACGGTTCCCCAACGAAGCCAGAGTAATTAAAGAGGTCTATGGAGACCAAATTATGTCCAAGCAATGCTTCGTCACAGTAAATGGCAGCTGAGCTGCCAAAGGGTTTGTTGAGATGGTGGGAGAACCTGAGAGCAATGAATTGTTTGCGGATGTTGGCAAAGCCACTGAACAGAAGGCAGTGGAAGACTTGGTACAGGTAAGAATAGATGAAAAGGACCCGGAAAAGTTCTTTTTGTTTGGCTCATCTATGTCCAGCACCAAAGAATAGAGGTCATGGAATTCTTGACCTCTAACATCGAAGTGTTTGCCTGGATGCCGTATGACATGCCTGGCATTGACCCAAACTTCATCTGTCACCAATTGAATGTCCACCCAACTGCAAGACCAATCATACAGCGCACTCGCAGATCAGCACTCTACCACGCCGAGATAGTGGTCGAAGAAGTGGGAAACCTTCTAGAGGCAGGAGATATTAGAGAGGGGCACTATCCCAAGTGGATATCCAACACAGTCGTGGTGCCAAACAAGAATAAAAAATGGCGTGTCTGTGTAGATTACAAAATAGTCAACAAAGCGTGCCCAAAAGACAGCTTTCCCTTACCATGGATAGACCAACTGGTAGACCTAACGGCAGGGCACAATCGACTTATCTTTCTTGATGCGTACAGAGGTTACCATCAGATCGCTATGTATGAGCCAGACCAAGAGGTCGCATCCTTTACGACGCCAAGAGGACTGTATTGTTACAAGGTCATGCCCTTTGACCTTAAGAACACAAGGGCAACATTCCAACGGATGGTCACCAAGATGTTCGAACCATTGTTAGGCAGAACAATGGAAGCCTACATCGACGACATGGTGGTCAAGAGCAAAGATAAGAATGGCCATCTCAAGGACCTAGGCGAGATGTTTCAGATCCTAAAGAAACAAAAGTTGCGCCTTAATGCATCTAAGTGTGCGTTCGACGTAGGGTCCGGCAAATTCCTAGGCTTCCTGGTGACCAACCGAGGTATAGAAGCAGACCCTTCTCAGATCAAAGCAATCTAGGATCTAGAGAGGCCCAACTCAGTAAAAGAAGTATAGCATCTCACCGGTATGGCAGCCACGCTAAACCGGTTCATAAGTCAGTCGTCAGACAGATGTCGACCGTTTTTTCAAGCATTAAAGGCCAATTTTGAGTGGGATGAAGAATGCAACTGCGCCCTAGAAAGTTTGAAGGAATACATGTCTTCTCCACCGCTGCTAGTGACCCCAATACCTGGAGAAGAACTATTTTTGTACCTGGCAGTCTCACAGCATGCAATTAGCGCACTGTTGGTCCAAGCGGAACGAATCCAACATCTGCCTATCTTTTATGTCAGCAAGACATTGCTGGGCACAGAAACCAGGTACTTACCACTGGAAAAACTGGCCCTAGCCTTGATGATGGCCTCAAGGAAGTTGTCGCACTACTTTCACGCCCACACCATAATCTTCCTCACAGCTTTTCCATTAAAAGCTTTGTTTGAGAGGACGAACTTTTCTGGACGAATCTTGAAGTGGGCAGTAGAGTTGGGACAATTTGACATCAAATTTTAACCCAGAACTACAATAAAAGCCCAAGCTTTGGCAGACTTTGTCACAGAATTCACACCAGGAAGTCATCACGTCTGCCCAGTTGACTTAATGGATACAACCGAAATAGGGATAGAAAGTGGCGCTGGAATAGCGCAACCCCTAATACAGGATACCCAGCCACATCCCAGGACAGACCAGTGTGAATAAAAGGAGAGAGAAACAAACCATGCTACACCAAGCAAAGATCCATCGACAAACAAAGACTTGGTACAATCAGATAGCGAGGGGCAAACAGTAAGTGTGAACTTTGAAGAAGACACCAGCAACACTCAGGACCCCAAGGCATCATCCGATCCCTCTACCTCTGGAAGTTATTCGTAGCAGAGACGTGGAAGCTCTTTGTAGATGGAGCATCCAACAGGCATGGAGCAGGACTCGGCATAGTCCTCATCTCACCAGATGGCCTAGTAGTAGAATAGGCAGTCAACCTTGACTTCCCAGCATCAAACAACGAAGCGGAGTATGAAGCGCTTCTGGCAGGACTAAAATCAGCACTCTACATGGAGGCCACCGAGCTAATGGTTTACAGTGACTCACAGCTGGTGGTAAACCAAATTTCAGATGACTACGAAGCAAAGGATGAAAGGATGGCTAAGTACCAAGAGTTAGTCAGAAAAGAGATCATGAAGTTCGAAACAGTGCGGATAGAGCAGATTGGCAGGGAAGAAAACAGCAGAGCAGATGAACTAGCAAGCTTTGCTTCAATGGCAGATACATCCATCCCACATCCACTACTGATCGACTTCTTACCCAGACCAAGCATTGAAGAACCTGAAGTAAAACAAATATGTTGCGCCGAACTAGGCCCTTCGTGGATGGATCCCATCATAATGTTCCTAAAAGACGACATTTTGCCCGAAAAGAAGAAGGAGGCCAACAAGATTAAAGCAAAGTCACAACGATTTTGGCTCTCCCCATCAATGGCCTTGTACAAGAAATCTTTCACAAGACCTTACTTGAAGTGCGTCCATCCTAGTAAGGTCGAAGCATTCCTGTTCGAGATTCACAAAGGTGTATGCAGAAGCCACCAAGGGGGGAGATCATTGGCTTACAGAGCAATTTCGCAGGGATATTGGTGGCCTTACATGCAAGCAGATTCGGAGAAGTATGTCAAAAAGTGCGAGAAATGTCAGAAGTTCGCACACCAAATATATCAGCCAGCCAAAGAGCTTCTACCTTTAACTAGTCCATGGCCCTTCGCAATGTGGGGCTTGGACATAGTAGGACCACTTCCAACAACACCCGGCAACAGAAAGTTCTTCCTGGCAGCAACAGACTACTTCATAAAGAGGGTGGAAGCAGAAGCACTAGCATCAATAAAGGAGAAATATGTAAAGAAGTTCGTCTGGCAGAACATCATCACTCGATTCGGCATACCCAAGGCGCTGATATCAGACAACGGCACCCAGTTCGACGACAAAATTTTTTAGAGGCTTTTGTGAGGAGTACAACATAGAGTTCTATAACTCTACACCGGCATACCCCCAAGCAAATGGCCAAGCAGAAGCATCAAACAAAGTTATCTTGGATGGATTGAAGAAAAGGTTAGAGAAAGCAAAAGGAAAGTGGGCTGAGGAGCTTCCTCATGTTTTATGGGCTTACCGTACCACACCTCGCCGATCAACGGAGGAAACACCATTCTCCCTAGCTTACGGCATGGAAGCAGTAATCCCACTAGAAGTTGGCCTCTCCACCATTCGAAGCGAAAATTTTGATCCAGACTTAAATGGAGAAGCCATCACATTAGAGCTCGACCTTGCAGAAGAAAGAAGAGAAAGAGCACTGGTTCACATCGCCTTATACCAACAGGAGTTATCCAGGAAATACAACAAGACCGTCCATCCAAGGCAATTCAAGATCGGAGATTGGGTACTGCGCAAAGTAATAGAGAACACCCTGGTACCCGGAGATGGAAAGTTAGGGCCCAATTGGGAAGGACCTTACAAAGTGGTTGGATTAGCTGGCAAATGGGCATACCACCTGGAAGACGAGGACAGCAAAGCCATTCCCAGGCCATGGAACACTGCCAATCTCAAACTATTTTATTTTTATCTTTTCTTTCAAGTATTTTTAATTTTTTCTTTCTCAATAAAACAAGTAGTTTCTTTTCAGTATAGTCGTTTCCTTCTATAAAAGATTGTTTTAGTGAGTTAGGCGCACTGAAAGCATAGTTGGCTGGAATAACCAACTTTGCACTCTCTTCAGCTAAGATTAGGATCAGTGCTGAAGAAGTTGGTTGGAAAAACCAACACCCCTCCTAAGCCCAGGATAAGGATCCAGGCTGCAGGATGTTTGGTCGGAATAACCAAACACTTTACTCTAGGTTGGCAGGAATACCCAACTTAGAGGTTGGCTGGAAAAACCAACACCCCTCCTAAGCCCAGGATAAGGATCCAGGCTGCAGGACGTTTGGTCGGAATAACCAAACACCTTACTCTGGGTTGGTAGGAATACCCAACTTAGAGGTTAGTTGGAAAAACCAATACCCCTCCTAAGGCCAGGATAAGGATCCAAGCTGCAGGACGTTTGGCAGGAATAACCAAAACACTTCACTCAGAGTTGGCAGGAAAAACCAACTTTGAGTTCTCTTCAACTAAGATTAGGATCTAGGCTGAAGAGGTTGGCTGAAAAAACCAACACTTATGGTTCTTCAACCAAGATAAGAATCTAGGGTGAAAAGGTTGGCTGGCAAAAACCAACACTCATTATTCTTCAACCGAGATAAGGATATAGGCTGAAGAGGTTGGCTGAAAAAACCAACACTTATTGTTCTTCAGCCGAGATAAGGATCTAGGCTGAAGAGGTTGGCTGAAAAAACCAACACTTATTGTTCTTCAGCCGAGATAAGGATCTAGGCTAAAGAGGTTGGCCGGTATGACCAGTTAGATTTCAAAGTTAAGACTGGGATAAAATATCTCGGCCAGAGAATATTATACTACATTTAGATTACAGAGTAAAATACATGCATAAAAGTTAACCGAAATAATAGTTGGAACAAGAGAAGATTTCATTGAAAGTGCAAATCAAGAGTTACAAAAGGGTGGGATTACAGTTTTCTTTCCAAAAGTAAAAAAGAAGAAAATACACTGCCAAGCAAACAGATCGTCAAGATCAGCATCCAGTTCAACTCGGAGCCCAGTTTCAGTTGGTAGCTCGGTTGTCAAGTCTTCCACTAGTGGTTCAACCCGTGCTGAATGGATGGCTGGATCATTGACGACCGGGGCATTGTCAGACACGGTCTCTTCATCTTCATCCTCAGATTCAAGGAATTTCTGTTGAATGACGGCTGCATACTCCGCCATACAGCTCAGTATGAAGTGCGATAGAGGGTTCTGGAAAACCTCAGTCTCTGGACCGTGACCGAGCTATTCCACCGCTGCTTTCCACCCGCACTTGAAAAATAGATCCTTGGCAGCTTCACACTGCATGATGTAGGTTGTTTCATCTTCTTTGTAACCACAATCCTCTACATCGCCAATCTTCTTCTCAAGTTCAGGTATTTCGGCTTTCTTGTTCTGCTCATCTTTGGCAAGCTCACGCAGATAGCGATCCTTTAGCTCGGTTAGAGCTTTTTGTTTGTCCACCTTGACTAAGTCAACTAGGCCGGTGAGGCGGGCGACCTCAGATTGTAGCTCGGCCATTTGTTGTTTGGCCTCGTTTAGCTCGGCCGTCTTCTTTTCAGCCTCTACCAAGGCTTGCCTTGTTGTTTTGTGTAGCTCTAGCACACGCTTATGAGCAATCTGGTTCTTTTGTATGGCCTGCATAAACATGGTAAGCAAATTGGAGTAAGAACCGAGCTAACAGTTGCACAAAACAGAAAAATAAAGGAAATAGTACTCATCAGCACCATTGATTTGGTGGCCGAGCGGATAGCTTTTAGCTCGGTCAAGTGGGCGTGGTGATCCATATCAGGGGGCAGACACACGCTCTTAGCCAGGTTGAAGGCCAGCATGTGATCTTTATCTGCCACCACTGAATCTGTTGGTCTGATGGCTTGGTTCTGAAATGTTAATTACGGTGCCCAATCAGAAGAATTAGCTCGGTCTGGGCTTTCAGGGCGCGGGCTTGGTACTGCAGTTGGAGGAAGCACAATTTCGTCCTCATCGACAAGCCGTGGCTCGATTGGAGAAGATCGAGCGCGCTTGCGAGACCGAGACGATGAAGGCTGATGGGATGGTAGGGCTACCATGGTCTCTTGTGTTTGATCGGCTGGAGGTACCTCGGGCTGGTTTGTCTCAGTCAGAAGGGCTCTTATGGCTCTTTTCTTAGTCGTTTCTTGTTCAGCAGTTAGTTGGATCAGGTTGATTTGAGGCAAGGTTGGGTCCGGTTCAGGAGAGGCTTCCAACAAAAAGTCAGTCACCCTGGTCTTTCGCTTATTACTGTGTCTGTACGTCGGTTCAAAATCTAGTAGTTCGGCCCAACTTCTATTGGGATATCGCAACGCGGCGCGAAGTATGTTTAAGTTGGGGTAGTTGTACTGGGACTTAAGAAAGTTCAAATCTGCATGAAGAAAAGCAAAACAGTCAGTGCGGTTCAACATAAGAAAATCGAGGTAAAAAAAAGCATGGAATTGAGCCCAGGTAATCCTACCGGCTTCACCCTTGTACTAGTTTATTCTGTCACCCGGAAAAAGAGCCATAAGAGGTTGCTTTATCGTTAACATCCTTATCCGGGGTATCTTTTATTATCTTTTCACGTCGGCGTCTTATTCTTAAATAGTAAACCCAGCCATCTTCATTTGATCCTATGGAGTATTGGTGGAAAAGCTCGGCTAAACCGAGGTTAAGGCCAGCCTGGCGATTTAGCTCGACGATGCCATTTATTATGCGGTATGAATTTGTAGAAAGTTGGGTAGGGCAGAGGTTGGTTTGTCTGAGGAACTCGCATAGAAAGGGCTGTACAGGGAATCTTAATCTAGTTTCTACAGTGGAAAGAAGTCTAAAAGGAACAAAGCCAGGGTTTCCCCAGGGTATGGTATCTAGTTTGACTAAAGTGAGATGAACATCATCAGGGATATGGTAGTCCCTTCGGAACTCAGCCATAGCACCTGGTGAGTTCACTAAAAACCTATATTTACCCATAAGGATTTAAATTATGTATAAGTTAGCCTGGAGAATTAGCTCGGCGCCAAACAGATAATGGGTATCTCGGCTGGACGTGCAAAGGAGTGACTGGGCAACCTAGTCAGAGTCTGCAAAGTAAAAAGAGAGGTGTTAAGCATAGATCGTGGGACCGTGTTACAAGAAATATAGGCAAGACAAATGAAGTCCTAGCTCGGTTACATGGAATGCTATCGAGTCTTAGCTCGGTTTAAGCAAGGGGCTTTAGCCCCGTCGAGCCATTAGGGCAACAATATTAGTTCGGTTTGAACTAAGGGAGCTGGTTTAGCCATAAGATTTAGCTCGGTCGGTGGTTGAGGCTTTCTAGTACGGCATTGTGCAAACCTAATCTATTTCGCTAGCTCGGCTAAGTAAAGCAAAAGGTTCTCAGACCTACTTAAAACAGCAAGTGTTCACAAAGTCTTAGCTCGGTTGTTCAATTTTGCTAAGGCTCGCACCTACTACAAACTATTTCCTAGTCCGGTTGGAGTATGATTTCAGATCTAAGACGTCCCAGTTCAGTTTTTTCGCAAAATCAGTAGTGATGGGTATCATTCAAGTTGTTCTTACTCCTTACAAAGAAAAACTATTTTGAAAAGTGTTGTAAGAAAACACGTATATACAAATAGTACATATAACCAGTCAAACGGAAAGCAAAAAAGGATTGGGTTACTTACAGATTGGAGAAGGAAGGATGTAGGTCTGAAACCACGAAGGTGATGTTGAAAATGCAAGCTTCACAGATGCAAAAGTGGCAGCAATGGAGGTTCAAGCAAGAAAAAGAGAGAAGATGAATAGTAGGCATGATAAATTCAAAATAAGTGGTTCTTGTGTGAAGAAGGAGAAATTGGGCGAGACTGTTCAAATTACGCGAAATACGAAGACAGCATGACAGCTGCATTAGGCTAATGATAGTGTGCCATGTGTTCTTGGGATAAGAAGCGATTCAGTTACAACGATTGAAGAGACGTTTTGACCAGACTGATTGATAGCACAGTATGTGTTTAGCTCAGTTGGAGGGCTAAAGTTTTTTAGCTCGGTTGGAAGGCTAGAGCTTTTCTTAGCTCGGCTGGTAATAGGTAATCCCTATCATGCTGCACAGATGGAATTAAGGGGCAATTGAGAGGGAAATTTCTATATAAATTGGGCCGAGCTGGGTAATGGGCCATTCTGTGGACCACAATAAAAAGGGCTGAGTAAAAAGGGCCTTGTAATTAGTCCGGTCCAGAAGAGCCTTGGTGGTTAGCTCGGTCACCACGGTCGGCACGATAACAGTTAGTTTGGTCATACTATATTAGGCCGAAGTATGTTGAGCTTTCCTCAGAACCTTGCTATTGGTTAGCTCAGTCCAAGCTCGATGTGATCAGTCTGGTCTCAGACAACACAGTTGGGATATGTCAAACCGAGGTACACACAGTGAAAAGAAGAACCGAGCTAGTGGGAGCTCAGTCTAGTCTGCGGCTTTAGCATGGCCATGATTATCTCGGTCGTATTGACATCCAACCGTGGTAGGACCATCTCACTTGGTTTAAGCAGTGAGGGGGGTGTTGAAGGATAAGCATTATCTTTCAGGAATGTGATTCATAGGAGGACTCTACATGGAAGAATAAGAGTCCTACTTGGATTGTGTCACACGGAACCTATAAAAGTTCATACCATCACCTATGGAGAGGTAACACAACTTTGATTCCCGAATACACAGAGCTTTTGTCTATTTGTCTATTTTGCTGACTTAGGCATCGGAGAGGTATCCGGCGCACACTCGCCGGCTAGCTCACGTTTGTGTTTTCAGGGAATAAAGTGACGACGATTGAAGGAGCGCGGACTTGATCAACAGGATTATACGAGAAGATTATTTCTTGCTCGTACAGGTGTACTATATAAGTATAATTTTTATCTTTTTTCGATCATATCAATTCTTTACTTTTCTACATATATTTTCGTAAAAAATTAAAAAATACACTTAGTTAGATTATCCCAAACAACCCTGTCAAAAATATATATATATATATATATATAGCGTGTGCCCTATGCCTGAAGGCACAGTGTAAATAATGTTAGGATTAACACTATTTAAATTTATTTTTTAATTTGATAAAATCACAAATTTATTATAAAATTTTGGAGTTCTTACAAAACTCCTCACGAAAACTCACTTTTGCTTATATAATATATAGCTAGATAGATAGATGTGCCTAGCATACGAAAAATTTTTACGGACATACATACAATACTGTTTTTGCTTATATAATTATATGGAAATTATATATATGCTCGTAATGTCCTAATGTATTACGGGCCATACGAACATTATATGACAATGTGTAAAATATATTAAACAAAAAGAAGAAAATAAAAATAAATAAACAAATAGAGAGAAAAATAAAAACGGGAGAAAATAAAAAAATAAAAAGAAAAGAGAGAGGAATGTGGGATCATGGGATCATGGGTTAGAAAAAGAAAAAGTAAGAGAGAGAGAAGCAAGAAAGTAGAAAATGTATATAGAGGACATTTTTTTGGAAAATATATCTCAGCTATTGTTTTATAATTTAAATAGATCTGAGTCATTCAAATGTTCTAATAAGACAAAAATATGTTGAAGATTCAAAAACCGTCATGCTTTATTAAAATACTAGTGTATGCCCGTACCTGAAGGCACGATGAAAATATAAACATTTAAGACAAAAAAAAGGATAATCCAATGTCTAAAATAGTTTTTTTTTTTTAAACATGCATTAAGAATCTTAATCATTAATTTATTTAAGCTGGTAAGATGATAATTAATTATTAATCAAAGCCAAACTTTTTTTTAATTAAAAAAATAATCATGTTGGGATGCCATGGTTTAGGGCATGTGAAAAATCTTCGGCAGCTTTTGCTATTAGTGGCCTAATCAGCGCCAATGAAATTCCTCTCTTTTTTATTCATTTTTTCTAAAATATGTTTTTTATCTGATTTATATCTAATCAATTAATTAATTAATTTCATGCATCCTCAATATTTAATTAATCATGGAAAACCTAATTATACACTACCAAAAAATTGACTTTTTGCGACGGTAAAATACCGTCGCTAATACTCCTTATGCCGTCGCTAATACTTTCTGCGACGGCAAAATGACTTTTTGCAACGGCAAGAGGGGGTCGCAAATGCAGGGGTCGCAAAAGAGTTTTTGCGACGGCACATTCCCATCGCTAATTTTT